TTGATGAATATAACATTATTCCAATTTTAAAAAGAATGTGTCAATCTATAGACATACAAAGTCATTAGAAATGAGAATACAGTATTTCATAAGGAAGTATAATGTATAGTTTTTTTTACAAAAAAGTATGTTTGGTATGGACAATGAACGTGTGCTTCGAATTACTATAAAATATTCTCAGATATATTACAATAATTTATGTTGGTACCTACAATATTTCTCCCATATAATTGTATCATAATACTTACTATATTTTATTGCTGTCACATATAGTACCAGAAATTTTAGTAATCTGTACAATAATTCTGGTAATACCTGCTATCTATTTTTCTCCGTGAACTCTTGAAAAAGAAGAAATTACAATCAGATGAAATTTTCGACCAAACGCGGAGATATCTCAAAGTTCGTTACACTTTGTATATGATATATTATATGGTCAAATATATTCGAAATGTTCTTACCTATAAGTCCCTTTCAGATATACGTCGGTGAACCAAACACCCTGTAATATACGAAATACCAGATGAAGAATTGAACACGGAGAGTGGTGGATTTTTTCAGAAAATAACAAAATTTACCACACTTTGCTTAGATATCCTATTGAACAGTCATTGTCAACATTCGTAACCTGGAAGCCTGGAACCTGGATGTCGAATATGCATGCCAGTGTGTTTTGACATATTTCAATATTACCTACTATTATGAGTACATATGTATTTGTGGAAAGAAATTGAAGTATATATATATATAGTGAGTGTGGCATCACCAACCAGGTGAATAGGTAGCTCGTCTCTGGACAGAACAGAGAATCTGAGGGCATCAGCGTATGTTTGGGTGCTGAACTGCTGAACCCCATATGTGGGAATGTACCTATTCTAAAACACGGCGGTAAAATTTGAATTTTTAATAATAAAAGTCGAGTATGTGTATAATTTCTCGATGGGAGACATACAGGATGTTATCATCTTCAACCTACCAGTAAAACGTTATTGTAGATGCTATTGAAACGCTAATCAAATAATTCTTTTCTCTATTATTATTATTAGTGAAATAATATTTTCTCTACATAACCTCAAAATTCTCTCTGCAATTTGGCCCAACCTGTACATACGTGCATTATCGGAATACTCATGTATCTATACTCCGCATCATTGTATTTTTTGCTATTCAATGAAAGTCGAGTCTATTTGAATAACCCTATACATTTCCTGGACAAGGGCATAAGAGATATAGATATATGATGCACCTACAAGTCTCCTCGTTTGCCGTTTGTATAGAAGGGAACCTAATAATTTGTTCAATTTATGTAGTAGGCTGTGTGATCTGTGATGTGAATTGACTTTTGATATCCGCTTGAGAAAGTTCGAATTCCATTGTACCATTCGAGAGGTTTCCTGCCTAACATGCAGCTACTCGCCTCCTAGCCGGACGAAGCAGCTCGACTCTCCACTCTAAGCGCCCTTGCAATAAGGTCGAGATTCCTGCGAAGCGCGCTCTGTCCGTGGGACGTTCCTGCGGATCGGGACGCTTTGGCACTTTACGACGCCGGAACTTTGATGTCGACGCTGACGCCCTGTCGAGACGACGTCGTTATCTTTTCTGTATAAAGCGGACCGCCAGTCCACTCGATATGGTAATGCGACTTTCGACGAATAAATGAACAGAAAACACATCCAATATAACGGCGCAAACAAGTATTGTGGAGACGCAGTCAGGCTGCAGGAATAAACAATATGGTTTCTTTGATTACAGGAAATATGCCGCCCTGCCGCCCAAGTGTTTTTTACGGGAAATATTGCTTAATAAATGTAAATATAATGATATACCAAGGTGCAGAAGACATTTTTCTAACTAGACTTCAGGTTACTGAGGAGATAGTTTGATAGGTGCCTGATGAAATGAGTCAATTCGAATAAAGTCATCATACCTATATTACCTGTTTGTGACAGATGTATCTCCAACATCACTGATAGGAATGGTTTTTGGAAGCTTCAAGCTCATCAAGATCAAAGTTCATAGATAGATAGATAGATAGATAGATAGTTTCATTTACCCACTTTACATGAATTACATGTTTGTAGCAAGTCAAGGTACAACAGATTTTATCATTGTAGTATAATATATATGTCAAGTTGGAACTTGAAAGCAAAACATTGAAGAAGAAAACGGATTGAAAAGACACACATATTGTGTGCAGTAATAGTAACATATATGGTACATATACATGTACATGATTCGAAAATTTTACAAACATACAAATACTTGAAAATTTGGAGAGCGAATCCAGGTGAGTACATCAGGATTGTATCAATACAACGCCCTGAAGAGGGTTTAGTTATAATCATTTATGGTTTATTGATAAGTTTGTGGAGTTGGGGTGAGTATCATGTGTTCATGGATAAATGAGAGGAATTCCTCAACTGAATAGAATGCATATGTGATAGTAAATGACTTTTTACTCATTTCTTGAATTGGAAAAAATTCGAAGATTTAACAGCTGGTGGTAAAATATTAAAAAAAAACTGACATTTATAGAATTTTGCTCAGTGACAGATAGTCTGAATTTAGCATTTTTTGATAAAATGACAATTCCACAAGTGGCGTAGAATTGGGAAGGATCAACCAGTCACTTCATTATTGTCCCCCCAAATATGACAATGATACGTCAATTAGTTTCGAAGTATATATATACTAGGCAAAAATAATTTATAAATTTTCAAATAAATCACCCTCAGACAAGAGATTTTAACATTTTGGGCTCAGAATTCTATATGGTTGAAATATTTCCAATTAGTGATGAAACACCCTGTATAGTGTAATAGATATACAGACCCCAACTTTTTATTTTTAAATTGGATACCCTGTACGTAATTCCACGATTGGTTATATAGGGATTATTATGACGAATTCAACGATACCGAGTTTGATAGGTTTATTGCAAAAGATTACGAAAATATTCGCGTTCTGAGTTTCCATTTGCTCAATGATTCTGTGTGACAGAGAAAGAAGTTTCGATATTGTGAAGTCACGAGACAGTTGAAGTGTCATTCTGACCACCCTGTATACTTTATGGTAAATATGAGAATTTCATGTCATAGAACATGATATAAATTGAATATTGATCAACAAGAATGTTCTAATGAGTTCTTGAAAGTGTAAGTCCTAGGTACCTATATGAACTTTTCTTCAATGCCTGCATGTCCAGAAAAACGCTTATATAACTTCGAAACGCCGCTTCGAATTTTTGAATCCAGAAGTAAACATTATCTGATGAGAATCCATATATGTTGAAATATATAGGGTGTTCTGTTATGAAAAACAAGCTTGATTTGTCACATTTCTCTGAGACACACTGTATATAGTGTGAAATAATTTTTAAATATGCATCTGTTGGACCTAAAACCCCTTTAAAAAATGTCTTCCATGTCTAATAGCAGAGCTGATATCTTAGTTTGTCAAACTATTGGTCCACCATGTATATTGAAGTTCGCATATACCGGGTGGCCACGAGAACCGGGCCGCCCCTGTAACTTCGCCCTAACAACACGAGTACATTCTAGGGACTTCCCAGGGACGTCCCTAATTTCAAATAAGGACATCCCAGGGATATCTTTTCTGGGACAAAGTACATACTAGGGACGTCCCAGGGACATCCGCTTTCAGACAAAAAGGACATCCAAGGGATGTCCCTCCTGGTACGTCCCTGGGATGTACCGAGTACAAAGAAGGGATATCCCTAGGACGTCCCAAGGATATCCCAGGGACATCCCTTCGACAAAAGAAAAAAAAATGTAGGTCTAGTTGGGATTGAACCCGGGACCTTCAGCTTATCAGGCACGCACCTTACTCCAATGGCCAATATGCCTTCTGAAGATTCATGTATTGAACAGATTTATAAACAGGACAACTACAGAAACCTGGATAAATAAAACTGTTAGGATTCGGGTATAATTATTATCATTCTTGGGTGTTTGAAAATGAGGGGCATTATGCATTTACGATCTCTGTTTGCGAAAAATGGTCATTTCTTGAGAAGTTTTGAGACTATATTCTTTATTTTCATCACAATTATTTTCCGGAAGAAATACATTTTCGAAAAAATTCGACTCAATATTTTGATGATATTGAATGACTCTCTGATGTGAAGAATGGATATCAGATATTCCAGGGACACGAATGGGATAACCTAGGGATGTACCGGGTGGGATGTCCACTGGACAACTACTGGCGGGACATCCCCTGGATGTCCCAATCATTTCCTTGTACCGCGGGACATAAAAGGGACGCACCTAGGACATCCCTGTGTTGTTAGGGTCTGAATCACTTTAATCGATGAGCTGAATCCTAATATGCAATAAATATAAGGATTTGTTTGTTGGAAATCACCAGTATTCAAAACATATTTATAAAAATTATTTGAAGTTCTAAATCCCCGATAGTCGCTGACCCATATCAACTTGAGTAGGCGACAAAAAATATATTAGAGCTCAGAGCAATATAACTTTAATATCCGTAACGACATCTGTGAGTAAATTCGAAAACTTCGATTAGTTAAGTTACAGGCATCTAGAATATTACTTTCAAGACGAGAGCCTAAAGTTCACGAAGCATTCCCAGATCGCGTGTCATATTCGCTCGCAGGAAAACCACCCTGAATGGCCTAATACGCCAATGAACAAAACCATAATATCAGCGCGAACTAAGGTAAAACTTTCTGACCAAATTTGGCCTGGTTTTTGCAAATAAAAATCATCAAATAGGTAACACGAATGTCAACATATCACGTGATGCGAATCCATTGCAAGATTCAGGCTTTTTTCCCTACTTCCACTATCTATAGTAGTGCCATAGTGCCTAGTCCTAATTCTAAGTGGACTGAACAAGTATGTTCTACATTCACAAATTTTCTATGTACACTCATAGATTCAAATGTGTGTATTCAGATCTATATGGTACACTTGATATTTTAAAATGTGGGGCATACAATAATAAAACGACAGGGATTCATATTTGAAATTTTCATTAACATCTGGTATATGAAATTATAATTTACAAATTTAATAATAATTAGGTATGCCAAGCTATCATGTTGAATTGATCTTGATTGTAATTATATATATTATACTCTTTTAATATTCGAGTAAAGAGTAAAATCAACTGTTAACTACAAAATAATATAGACTAATTGAAAATACTTACGTATCTGATAGTATACAATAAAAACAGTCTAAAATCAAATAGGAAAATAAATATAAGCAACAAAACAAGTAATTTGTACTAAATTATAATGTGTCTCATCTGGCCTGCTGTTATGTAAATAAATAGACGGATTGAGTGCCAAGAAACATTCAGTCCAAAAATTGACAATTTCATGACATGGTACATTATTATCTTGGCATAAACTTTGGTCAGGAGCGTTCTTTATCAATGAATAAGATATGTGATTCAGTGGGATTCCCGCATTTTTGAAAGCACTTATTCAAATCAGCCTGCATCCATTGACACTTTAAAAAATCTTATATCACAAAATATTCTTCCCCAAATATATTTGTCCCTGATAAATAAAATATTCGAATCCCAAATAAATAACAATTTCTCGAAACAATATACAAAAACCAGCTTATAATAAAATCACAAATCCAACTCTTTTCAAAATATTCCACGTATAGCTTTGTCCAAATGGAATCTTGCTGGGTTAGGAAACAAGTATGTAGGATAATGCAATACTACTTTTTTTTGTCAGGTCACTAGATATTCAATTTATCCTGACTCCTTTGACTACGGGAATTCTTCACATGCGTTGTCTCCAAATATGCAGCTGGTGCCCAACCTTCAACATTAGTTTCTGGAAAAAATATGTTCATGAAAACATTACATTCTTGGAGCTTTAATAAAATGTAGATGCATTTCTAGGGAAGATTATGAATCGGGCAATTTTTCGATAAAAGTTTTGTTATTTCCGTTATCATGGTTACTCATCTGAAATGATATTTTCCTGCAAACCCGCAAGTAAGTACACTCAACAATTCATAATGCTTAACTCGAAAACAAATGCCAACACATACATACGTCGATTCTCTCAACATACGTGTGATGAGAATTTTGAGGAGTGTCTAGAAGTGTTTGAGTACGAGTCTCTCACTATTATTTCAAAATTGAAGATACTGAGCAGCATTGCACGTGTATTTAGTGATAGTGCAAGTTTGACAGATGGAGGTTCCCGTTGGGAGATGAACATGACAAATTATAACAAACACATACGTGGATTCTCTCAACACATACGTGTGTTGACAATTTTGAGGAGTGTCTAGAAGTGTTTGAGTACGAGCAGGGCCTTGAGTAGGCCCTGGTACGAGTCTCTCACTATTATTTTCTATGGCCCGAAATTGAAGATACTGAGCAGCATTGCACGTGTATTTAGTTATAGTGCAAGTTTGACAGATTCACTTCCATGGATTCACTAAACCTGGAGGTTCCCGTTGGGAGAGATATTTATTGATATCTATAACGTTAGGGTTATTATTTTCAGAAAATTTTCACTAGTTGAAGTGAAGGAATAAAAGGATGCAAGGATTTGCTTGAACTACCGCAATATTACTTTTTTTTTAAATTAACGTAAATCCACATGACTGCGGCTCCCATATTACCATATCCAATGAAGGAGGATTGTTCTATGGCTGAAGAATTCAGCCTCATAAAGCTCAGTATTGATATGAATTATGAGTTAAGAAAAGGTTTAGCCAACACCAATGTACTTTTCCAGAGTGACATGTTAATTTCATTCAATATTATTTGTGATATGGATAAGCTCTTAGACACTCATTTGAGATATCAATATGCATTGAAAAAAGGGGTTTCAAAATAATGGAACCCTAGACAAGAAAAGATCTAAGTGAATGGCAGTATGACGATTCATGTGTAACTAATAATAGGAATCGTCTACTATATCTCTATTAGTGATACCTAAAATTCTCGTAGCAGTATTCACTATTTCAGTAGCTTATTGGCCCTTTTTAGTTCAGCATTATTACTACGAGAAACTAAGTAAATTCGAATCTGATAGAATTTTTACCAACCTATCATTTTCACAAACCACCATCCAGCACAGCCAACTTTGAGCAGCTCGACGACATCTCCTTCTCTCATGTTCACCTCACTATTGCCAACTGCACAGTAATCAGCAAGAGCAACGTATCGCCCATTCTGAAAAACAAGAATCTTAGGAGCCAGAATGATAGAAAGAGGGCAAAACGTATATAAGTACATAAGATAATGACAGATGATGCAATATTAGTTCCAGACAAAAAAATCGAATTAAGTATGTGTAAATTAAACACTGAATTAATAGATTTTCATCATATTGAAAAACTGATGATTGAAGTAGTGCAATGGTTTGTTATCTCTAAGGTTAGGTGATGAGAACATTTAGTAGGTATCAACTGTCTTGCTTAAAGAGTTAGGGTATGTACTGAATTCAACTGAATATTTTCGGCTCAGATTTCTGCTGAAAATACTGACCACTAACAGGAGGAGTGGAGTCAGCAATCTGTGAACATATTCTCAGTTTCGGGCATAACAATGTTATAGTTGGCTACATTATCGTGATTAATTTATGATCATTGAAGGAAGTTGTTCATATCAAGAAATTTCTACATTTTGCTCATTAAATCTCCAAGCTGATTTGCTCGATTTGCCATCATGGAAACCCTTCTGAAATAATAAATTGCTGCTCTACCTACGAATTATATAATTTTTTATTTGTTTCATCCAAATATAATTATAAAAGAAATAAATTGTGAATATCTGGATAGTGACAACTCAATGTTGTAGAATTTGTGCCGAATTTCAGCACAAATAATAATCTCACTGCAAATAGGAACTGAACTATTCCGGATCAGCAGAATTTCAGCAGGGTCAGTGGCACTATACTGACACTGAGACAGTTGAATTCGGAACATAGCCCTAATAGTAGCACCATAAGAAGCATACACATTTTCATACAGATGATATATCTGGCACATCCATTGACAAATAGCAGAAAGCAGGTTACTGAAAAGGAAAAACTGCGCAAGAAATGAGAACGTGGGTGAATAAAAGAAAAAAGAATTCAACTTACTAGAATGAAATAAATAATGGAACAGCGGAGAATTAGAAATTTTCAACATAAAATGTTGTGGTGTTTGTCGTACTGCCAATGAAATACTGAACGACACGATCAACTATTGTGCTATGACCCTTCACCACAGTTCTCCACTGCAATAAATTGTTCAAAGAATCTACTGTAAAAACATACAAAATTTCAAGGCAGAATACAAAATAAATCGCAAAAGATGACGAAACACACTATATCATTTCGAGTTTGAGAGAACAAACTTTATGGAAATAGAAGAAAACTGCGAGGATCCAAAGCAATAGATAGATTTTATTTATTTTGTATTCTGCTTTGAGCAATTTTCAAAGTGGTATAGGTATTTTATATATACAGTTATAGGAATATATTTTGTGTTAAATAATAATGAAAGAAAGACATGTGTTACGAATAAAAAAAAGCATATGATGTAGCTACGTGAATATGTACTTATATAATTGAAGTGAACCTGTTAGTCACATTTGGAATCAATATACTTCTAAGTAAGTAATACAGTGTTAGTCCGAAGGAATTGAGTATCTATATTCTTGACATAAAAATATGTTATTCAGTTGTGTTTAGTTTTCGATTGGTTTTTAATTATTATTCAAGATTCTCAAAGTTATTAGTTAATTTTATGACCTAAGTATATAAGTTGACATAGTAATTTCAGTTTCAGCTTTTATCAAGGTCACTTCATTTTTGGATTCAAGTATTGTTAAAATAGGTATCTCTATGTACAGGACATAGGCACTCTTAAGAGTTTGGTTCGTTCCGTCCAATTCACCTCGATACAAGCTTAATATCATATGGGGAAAAATATGTACTCATTGGATTTCCATGTTGGATAGCGTCTGTAGAATTTAGCAGCATTCTGAGGTGATTTATATATTCTGTTTTCGCTACGTAGCTCTAGAACACAGCTATGCTATCTTTGACCGGAGAAATCGTTTTTTATACTCATACTAATAATAACAATTGGCATCATCTGTCCTCTCTGAAATGCTCTGAATTTGTTTCTCATGTGAAATCATTTGATAGCTGTTAACGACTCTCAATGACAGAATGAATCATTCACAAGAAACTGATAATTTTGTGTCAAAAAAACAAGTGGAATTACTAATACATAAACCGCGGTACAGAAGACAATAATTCTTACCTCGCTTTCACATTTTCTTGGTTTATAATTGCTATTATACTACTACTAAATAGCTGTATGAAGCGCAACATAGCTACGTACAAAATCTACATACCGGTGAGGCAGCCAAATGATCTTCGTCATCACTATTACTACAATCAGAGGACCAATTTTCACTTTCTATGCTTTCATTTGACGCATCATCCATGCAATGACTAGATTGGTCAGAGTCACAGCTCATTGCTCTATGATGGATAATTGGAACAACGGAAGCCATGTTCTTCTGCTTTTCCCAAGAAATCGTTTGCCTCAGAGGTCTGTAAAAAATGGAATTAATCCATGGAAATTATCATCATTTGTATAATGTGACCCCACAGCTTGAATTCAGAATGACAACCTACTTGTGGGAAATTGCAGCATACTGCCTTATCTTCTCTCCCTTTATCTCCTCCAGCTGGTTGAATAGCACCTTCTTGATTTCGTTGACCCAAGTCTGTTTCTGATCCAAATTGGTGGCTTGAATGGTGTGGACTTCTTGCCTGCCCTGTAACCACAGTTCGAACTTCTTGACATCCCCTTTGACGGATTCCGTGAGGCCAATCTGCGACATTTGAAGATAATGCTTGAAGTGATATGTAGTTTTGTTATGGACTGTTTTCGAAACGGGTTTGCAAAACAATACGGCCTTTTGGTACAAGAATAAATGCCTTTGCATAGGCTTGAGGCGGAGCCTTAGGTCTCGTTTATTTTCCAGCCAAACGTTGAAAGAGCCTTGCAGCAAAAGATCTCCTTGCTGCCCTAAGTCCATGGGAAACCCTGTGATCGATATTTGGTGCATGCTATCATTGACACTCCTGAGGACGACAAGCATGCTGTCTAATGCTTGTTGTAGCTCTTTGCCGCAATTATCATAACTGGAATAGCGCAGAAGATCTTTCAGAAGGAGTTGATATTTTGTTATCCGCTGAACTGGTTTCAACAAGTAAGCGGCCAGGGGGAGTTTGTGGCCTAAACGCTGTTGGCAAGTTGAAAAAAATTGGTGCAAATCCGTTGAGCTTTCTCTTAGTTGTTCTGCTTTCGATATATTCAGGCAGTAGAAGCTATAGAGTTGAGAAAATGTCTCCCTCTGAAAAGCGCCAAGACTATTTAGTACTAGAGTTTTTCGAACACGAACTATGACGTACCCTTTGTAGAAAACATAAAGCAACGAGGTCTCTTGAAGTAATGCAGTTTTCCAAGTCTTTGAGAAATACGTCCGAATGGAATTTGAATATCTCTTCCAAATTCCCAAAAATAACGTGAAATTTTTCATCGACATCGGAAGGAATCAAATGAAGCATATCTTCATTCTGAGCAGCTTTCTTGTAACCCTAAAAAATTTGAAGGATATCGAACAGCATTTTGAGAAAAGGAATCTCATCACCTTCAAGATAGTATATAACTCAGTGACGTACACATTTTCAGTGTCATAAAGTTCTTTCAGTATGTGTTTGATTTTTATGTTATTTATCTCGTCTGAATCTGCTGGAAAATCATTTTGGAGGTAATTTGTGTCTATATCATTCCCAGGATTGCTCATCTAGAACATAAAATCAATAGAATAACATGATAATAATTAGACATGTGACAGTTTGTATATATAAAAATGATAAGCTCCATTTCTTCCAACTCCACTTGTATATACAGGGTGTCCCAAAATCGATGGCCAACCACACGCTTCTGGAGAACGAAACATAAAATTATTTTGAAAATGCAATGCCTTCGGTAATCAGTTCTGCTCAATCAATCTAAAAATATTTTCAACGCTGCGGCCTTGATGCCTCTATCAAGAAGTAGCAACAACTTTGTTATTTCGAAAATAACACCCTGTATATTATTGCGTTTTCATCAGATTCTTCCTGAAGAGCTGATTTAATCGGTCTATTACACTTGGGGTCTATCCGGAATGATTTCAGCGAGGGGTGTCTCACTTCAACAAAATGTGTACACCATATTGGATATTGTGAGATTCGAAGCAATATTGATTAGATTTGTAGCAATCCCTCAAGATTTGCAAGATTTCCAAGATTTCTCCAGATTTCTAGGGATTTTCTTAGTATTTATTGGATTCATCAAAGATTGAGAGATTCCTGAATATTCATCAAGAATCCTGGGATTTCCCAAAAATCTTCGAGATTTTCAAGATTTCTCGGATTCCTAGGGATTCCTCAAGGATTTACGAGATTTATCAAGGATTGAGAGATTTCTGGAGATTTTCAGTATACATGAGACTGTCGAAAGTTTTGCAAGGTTCATCAAAATTGAACGGATTTTTTCTCGGATTTTTTCAACATTTCAGTTTTCAAGATCAGAAAAATATTTTCTGGTCATAATGGTTGACAATCATTATGTTCTTTCAAGAATGAAATACACTGTTATGAGAAACAAAAGTTTCAGAAAAGAGAAATGCTAATAACCTTCAGAAAGTATACCTCTCTGACAAAATGAAAGCGAATCCTCGTTGCCTCGCTGCCACTGACTCCAACTGGTCGAGGTGAGATTTGAAAAAAATTGAATCTCGTGACATTTTCATTTAAATAAGCAATCGCTCTCGCAATCGCTCTTCTTTTACCGGGTCTCCACATATAGTGTGGAAAATCTCTATAGGTCCATCGAAATAAGAGACCTACACAATGACTTATTCATTGTATTTTTTTTTAATGACTCGGCCGTTACTTGATGGAAATCCATGATAAATGTAAAAACGATAAGATTTCCACAAAATTTATTAAACACACGACATGTTTCGCTAACACAGTAGCTTCGTCAGGTGATATACTGGTACAATGAACATTGTGACGTTTTTACATTATCTAATAAAACGGCAAAGCTTTGGGATTCTTTGCGAAAGGAAATATTCTCAAGAACTTATACAGGGTGTCCCATTGGGAAACGGACAAACTTCAACAGTGGGTCGAGCTCATCATGATGGTGGTTCTGAATATACCATATTTGTAGAGTCTCGTTTTATATTCGAGATATAGGGTGTTTTATTAATTTTGTTCAATTCTTTGTAAGGACATAATCCACGAACCACCCAGTATATTCATTTGGAATTTGGTACACAATTTCGACTTCTTCTATCAAAGCGACTCACCTATCAGTCACGAGAAAAACCCATCAGGACCGGATCAACGAAAATTGATCATATATCTGGACCCCAAAAATATCACCCTGTATTTTCGAATTTCCAAAATCCGCTCACATATTTGGAAAGTGCATGAAAATCTGAATCGTATGATGTACTTTCCTTTTTTCCGCATGCTATTCCACTAGGTAATATCTGATTTTGAATATGAGGTTTCATGCATTTAGATAGGTAAAAACGAGGGTAAAAATGATATGTTTTGAGTTTTCTCAATCGAATAACAAAAACCATCAAGAATCACCCAGTATATTCTTCTGGAATTTGGTACAAAAGTCCTCCTTCTTGTACCCCAGTGACCTATCAGTCACAATGAAAATCCAGGTCCGGATTAACGAAGAATTATGATCTTCTAGGCCCGAAAAAGATTATCCAGTATTTTCGATTTTCCAAAATCCGAATCCATATTTGGAAAGTTCACAAACAGATGAATCGAGTCATGTACTTTTCAATATCCAGCATGCTCTTTCACTTATTAATTTCTGATTCTGAAAACTCAAAACTTTCCATTTCACCTCGATTTCTACCTATCCAAATGCATAAAACCTCAAATTCAAAATTAGAAATCAGTAGTGAAATAGCATTCGTATGAAAATGAAAAGTAGACAATCCGATTCAGCTTTTTGTGCAACTTTCAAATATGTAAGCATAAAATGGAAATTCGAAAATACACGGTGTTTTTTTTGGGGCCCAGAAATATAATCAATTTTCGTTAATTCGGACCTGGAATTTTTTCGTGACTGATAGGTGAGTCGCTTTGGTAAAAAAAGGAGGAATTGTGTACCAAATTGCGGAAGAATATACTAAGTGGTTCGTAAGTTATATGTCCTCACAAAGAATTGGGCAAAATTGATAAAACACCCTATATCTCGGATATAAAACTTGTTAGACCCTACAAATATGGTATATTCAGAACCACCTTGATGAACTCTACCCACCGTTGAAGTTTTTCCGTTTCCCAATGGGACACCCTGTATAATCTCCAAAAGTTAAAAAAAATCTAATTATGGAAGATGTTGGATTGAGAGATTTGCGCGTGGGATTGAGAGATTCTTGCTTGGGATTGAGAGATTCTTGCTTGGGATTGAGAGATTGTCACGATATTTTCGGGATTGGTAGTATTCGAAGAAAGATTGAGAGATTCGATAAGAGATTTATGAAATCTCAAGAATCGAGCTGTGATTTCCAAAGATTGACACATTATTTTCGCGGATTGTCAGATTTGAAGAAACATTTAGGGATTCGAAGAGATATTTGTGGATTTCCAAGATTGAAGCTTGGATTGGTGAGATTTCCGAGATTCGAAGCGGATTGGAAAGGAAGTGTACACCAGATTGTCAGAGTGAGACACCCCTCGGATTTCAGCGATATATAGGGTGTAAAAAATCGAGATTTATCAACTTTTGGAATGTTTTGTCTTGAAACTATTAATTATGGTTGAAACGAAACATGTGACTCGAAAGCCGTCTTCACCAATAATTGATAGTTTCGACACATAAAATTACTAAACTTGAAATATCTCGATTATTCACACCCTATATTTCTGTAATCATACGTGCTAGACCCTGATGTGGGATAGATCGGTGAAATTAGCTCTTCGCGGAGATTAAAAAAATACAATAAAATACAGGGTATTCCATTCGAAATAACAAAGTTATTGCTACTTTTCGATAGAAGCGGCAACACGAAGCGCTGAAAATATTTTAGATCGATAGGTCCATGGATAGAACAGAAGTGATTACCCAAGAAACCGAATTCTCAAAATGATCCTATGTCCCGTTCTCCCATAATTTTTTGTTGACGAAATATCACAAAAAAATAAAAACTCGTCGAATCCTACTATAATAAAAATAATGATCTTGAAATAAATTCAACATTGCCTCTCCTACTATTTTATCTCTTATTTCGTTATCATTGAAAATTTTGTCGCGAAATTAGAGGGTCAGATAATACTCGATAAATTCTTCAAAATGAGGTATTGCAACACCCCCTCATCCCTATTCCAAATCCGGAGGTTGTGCTTCCCCTGGTTGGGGGTTGAAGTTATGGGGATGAAGAAAGCAGACAAATCGTTCCTCCTCGAATCAGAAATCGACGGGTCTGAGCGTTCTTCTGAATTTTCATTTAAATGCCGTAAAAAAAAGTTTTTCAGTGTTCGTTGAACCACCCGATATAATATTCAATTTTTGGAATCTCCATGAAAATATAATTTTTTGACAAAACGCTCGAAGCCGTCGAATTTTATTTCGATTCTGGCATCCTTTCAAAATCGATTAACACATACAGAATGATTCGTGTAGATAAAATTACGTCATCAAGATTTTTAAACGGACGCACTGTATAGAAATACTATTTGTGAAAATTGAATCCAGCTGCTCATGGAGATTTCTAAAATTGAATAATATCAATATAGGATGTTAGGTTTGAAAATATTGTCTCGGACTTAACTCAAACGTGTGAATCGCACCGTGTAGCTATATTCAATTTTTCATTATAAATGTGGCAAATTAAATACGAAAATCGATTTGTTTCAGGATATTCCTCAGAAATGGATAGTTTGACGAACAATTCATTCATCCACTACTTTATTACGAGAGCACTATAGATTTAAAATGAACGCACTGTATGAAAACCCTATTGTGATATCTATTTGAATTAAGCTTTATATGGATTCCAAAAATTGAATGACATATAGAGTGTTCTATTTGAAAGATTTGTCGCGAACGTCATAACTCAAACATGGATTACCCTATATATTCAATTTTCCCTAATACGTTTGGCGAATTGAAAATTAAAATTGACATGATGTTTCAGGATTTTTCTGCAAAGTTGAAGAAATGAATCTATTCCATAATTTTGCGTCTTGTACTGTACAGGGTGCTCCTAAAAGGTCTGTATATCATCTTAGCACATATTCCGGAGGTCAAAATGAGCCGATTTAAAGCAACTTACCTCATTCTGAAATTGTCTCGTTTCCGAGATACTTGATGGTAAATTTGAAAAATCGAGAAGTTTACACTCCAAGAAAGTATTCTGAAAAATCAATGTTTGCACTGCTAATTCACTGACCAAATGACATCCACGAAGATAACAGCAAACATTTTTTATTCGAAATGATTTGAATATTCCGGTGCGGCATCGAACACTAAAAACGAAATATCTCGAAATCGGTTAACTTTAGCGGATTTTCACAGGAGTACCATTTTTGCTCGAAAATGTTCACTTTATTAGTTCCTCAACAAACAAAGTAAACAACTACACTAAGAAAAAGTTATGGCCATTCTGAACCATAAGAATTGCATTGGTAAGCGCCCTCTAATGGCACAGTGACAAGGTGTCCGTTTTCAGGTTTCGCATCCCGAAAAATTCTCGGACAACAAATTTTTGAAGTGATA